ACATTCCGACGGCTCGCATCATCACTTCTCGGGTTAAATGATGTCGTCTCTCCATAATAATGTAAATTGTTTCGGTTCCGATGCAGATATTGTAATGATTTTGTCAAAACGCTATAACTCATTTTTATACAAAACCACATTGACAATCGATTTTCTTCTTATTATCGAATTTTAAACAATGTTCCTTATTTAAATGTTAAAACTCACTAAAAAGTATCAATAGCGATACAAAAAAGTTAATATAATTAACCCTAATTGCAGCAATACTCTTAAACGTACTTGATCCCTAGACACGTTTGATGTGTGTATATTTGATTTCCCACCACTTTGTCCGTTAGCCGCGTTTTAATTAATGGACGGCAGAAATCTGGTGAAAACGGTTGGTGCAGCACTAGTTTGTATTACAATCCATAAATTTTGACGTTCAGTGCCTCTACCACGGAGATTACTCTGACAGTTGCCGCTAGCGACCACGTAAATTACTTCACAATAATTTTGTATGGCAAATTATACAGCGCTTCTAGCGGTCACAAAAAGAAACAACATTTTTAGATTTACGAATTTACCAATTTAAGAACATCTCTCTTCTGAAAGTACATTAAGTTCCTCTTATTATTGTTGCAAAAAGTGTTGTGGAATGTCATCTGATAGTAGAGGCACTGATTGCAGATGAGAAACGGAATATGACCTAAAATCCCTCCTCTTTATGTGTATTCTCCCTTTATTAAAATTGTGTGTGATTTTATATGCTCTAATTATTATTAGTAGATTGCTTTTATGCAATAATGCGGAAGAGATGCACATCCTTAGTGCGCAGGGTGCGGGCCAGCTGCAGCAGTACACTGAACGTGTTTGCAGAACGTTTCGACTGTCTATATTTGAACCATTGTAACATGGTTCATCTACTGACTCGAGTAAAAATACAATTTTAATTAATTAATTTTTATTTATTTATGTCAATTTTAGTTCAGTTTAGTTTTGTACTTGTAATTATGGATGTAATTTATCCGAGAAAATAAATAAATGATGATGATGATAATGCTTTAGTTGGTTGTTTGTCCATGATTGTTTTTTTACCCCAGGTATGATCTCCACAAGAGCATTCCGTCGAAGAGGTTCATCCAAAAATAAATATCTTGCTGCTACCTAAACTTTGACGTTTTTGATCAATATTAACCTTAGAGAATAGAATAGAACGGAATATTCGAAATTCCGTTTTCTCCATCTTCAAAAAATATATCGACCTGATTCAACTTTTTTATTTCCAATTTTTTTTTAGTCAGTTGCTTAGTGAGGAGTTCAAAATTAAGAAATAAAAATAAATTCCGAAAAAAGTTTTTGTTTAATCTTGAAGCCACGTGTTTATCCTCAGTGTTTATCAAACCGCCCTCGTACTTCCACCTTACCTATTTCTACCGCTAAACAATAGAGAGCGTTACTGCGTTCCAGTTTTGTGTCTGGTGAAATTACAGGCACATGGAGCTAGTTAACTTACTATGTCTCAGGGTGACAGGTGCAGTGGCATTGCTCCTCAGATCTTTGCGATTTAATGAGTGGCATTGTATATAGACGTGTCGCTAACTACCAGGTGCACGACTTGTTCGTCTCCTAGTTTAATGTCATAAATAAAAAATTGACAGTAAATAGACATTCCAAGAGATGATATCTTTGGTCTACGTGCTCATACTTATCGTGCTGCAATCTAGAGCATGGAGCCACTGAACCTCATCTAGATTACGCAATCCCTATATTATCAGTCCCCTAGTTACTCTTTACAACTCTTTTGACGCAGTCATAAGACTCGAATCACAAAACAGTGTTATTAAAAAGATTAGATCACATGTGATAACGCAGATAATGTGTACTGTATAGATCGCTCTTATTACAAACATTATAGAGTAGAATTTAAGCGTCGAGCTTCAGAAGCTCTTGGCCTTAGACTACATACAAATGTGATAAACAAGACATAAATGAAAACAATGACATTTTTTTATCAATCGCATTATTTTTTGTTTTAAACGACTTGACAACTTTACTGATAAAAACATAGCAACAAAAACTAGCAATTATATTTAAAAATTAAATTCTAATCGCGAATAATGCATATTTTTTAATTAAAATAACCGACCTCAAAAGTTTGGTTATCGGCTTTTTTATTGGATTACTTCTATTTGCCAAGTTTTATTGCAATCGGTTAACGGAAATGGCGCGAAAACTGATTCATCCCCTAGTTTGTCACTCTCAGAGGTGGAATCTTTTCTTCAAATTTAAATGGGACCATTACTGAGGTACCTCTTTAGAACAAAAAAGATTTACATGTCTATGTTTTACATAAATTACTGGTTTCCCATTTTAACACATTTTCTTCACAATCACATTGATTCAATTTATCGATCACATAGAAAATATTTGAAAACATTCGAACATTTGACATATGCATGCCTATGAAGTTCCTTAATTACTGACAGGCAACCATAGACAAAAAATGCAATACTTCATGCTCTTTAGCTCCGATTTTTATGGACAGATTATGTAAAGAAGATTATTCAAGTTGATTTCTCCATTGTTGTATTGTATAATAAATAACAATGTAATAAATAATTAAATAAATTATAATTGTTTAACATAAATCATTATAAATCACGCTGTACTATATAATAAAAACTTGTAAAAATTACACATACATGTATGTACAATACACATAAATTACAAAAGCAATCAAAATAATAAAACTGTCCTTATCTTACACATTGCAAGCGCAAACGATAGAGAGAGATCCATTAGGTACGTCAATTTCAATTTTCGAATCACAAGCGATTGAAACTTGAAAACATAGAACTATAGAGTTAATTTAATGTTAATCTTATTTTTAAAATGACATTTTATTAAATATTAGTAAGTAATATTCTAACAAAATATTGTTGTATTTAGGAATGAAACTATTTTTCCGGATCTAAATTTAAATTGTTGTATTTGTTATAGACAAATTAAGTAACAGAAGAAAAAAACTCGCCTGTATTTTTTTTGACTGATGTAACTATTGATGTTATGTAATATACTTTTCCTTGCGGAAAGCAAAGATCTACACCATGCAGCCTGGTCTTTTTTATATTTTTAAATTGATATATGGTAACTAACGAAATTGGTACTTTTAATGCGCAAAATTCAACATCTCCTGTCGCATGTCACGCGAACTTCAGGCATATATTTGTTTCACAAATGTGGGCGGAGCCAACGTCAAAACTTTTTTGGCATGCTCCCTCTTAAGTATCTTCACAGTTTGTATTCTGTAGCTATGCCAAAAATAAATAAATAAATAAATAAGTAAATAAATAAATATTAAAATATTTGTTACATGTTAAATGATGTTAAATGTTCTTTTGTGAACGATAAAATGTGTGTTGTAATAATAATTTCTCATTACTGTTCCGTCTTTCTCATTTATGTTTAAGAGAAAATCATTCGTGTTACTGTAATCTCATTCGTGTGACCTAAAATATCGTTTTTTTTTTGTTGTATTTAACTTAAATATTTCTGTGACTTTATAATTTCTTGAAGTTATTTGTACGTTTAAGACCTTAAAACCAAAAGAAAAAAGGGTTTTACAAAAATGACTCAAAAGTGCCATTGAAATTCGGAAAGTGAAATTCACTCGTTGCCGCCGCGCAGCGACCGCATGCAAAATAGTAGTAGTGGCAAAATAGACTCTATTTGTGTGGGATTTAAGTTTTAACTGAAATGAGCGTCCCGGGCACGCGGGCTAGCCTGGCTTGAGAATTTGGTGTAAGCGGCGGCCGCGCGGTTGTATTATACAGAGGAATTTAAATGCTGTTGCCTAGTAAGTAGAATCCAGATTCGCCATTAATGTACATAACTAAAAATAACACTGTCACGATGACAAAGAAATTGTAGTATATCATTCGTCTCTACGATATCATTGTTACAACTCCTTTCATACCTGACTGGGTGGCAGCAATCATTATGTGTGACGCATGCAATATATCATTATCTACAAGGGCACTCGTGTTTAATTAGTACTCGTATAAAATTGCCTCTGTGGCCGAACGGTTACCTTGCTGGACTGCCACCCAGATGTCCCGGGTCCGATTCCGAGACCGAGAGAAATATTTGTATGGCCTACCTTTATTTCTCTCGTGAGTTTGGATGTAATTAGTGGTTGTCTATGTGTATGTCCATGACAAGGTTTCTCTAGTGCGGGGCAATGATTGTGTGCGTTATTAGTATTAGATACAACACATGATTACATTAGCTTAGCATATAGCTTTGGTATATAAACCACCAGAAACAAATTACCTTATAATTGGAAAGCATTTTGTATTCTTATAGCCATATTATTGACTAAACAATTTGTATATAACATCCTGTCTATCGTGTAGTTCCGTGATACTGCCGATGTTTTTGCCACAAATCCGGAGCTACATAATGGGCATTATGTTCTGTTACCATCACTACCACCTCAATAGTTTACTCAGATTTCAGTAAAAGGTGTTTCATCTACATCGACGATTCCCAAAGTGGTTTATCAACCCCCAGGGGTCCTTATCAGCGAAAACAAAAATAAGTGGAGTATAAGACATTAATGGGGGTCCACAAGTGAAGAATCCATTTACATAAGGTTTTTACAATAAACAAGGTATTCTGTTTGATAAATGTATAAAATCTGATTGTTTTTTATAAAGTTTCTCGCATACAGTTAAACTTATGGAGGTCAGTTTGATGAACTTGTAAAAAACAAACATATTGTAATCGCAAAACTTCCGTTCTCTGTTTATTTTATTACTGTCAATTAAGTAATAGGTACTCCACCGAAATTGAAAGACGCATGATGCGAATAAAGCTTCGTACTTGACATTGTTTTTTGACTTGGTCCAACATTACATATTTCACAGCAATTGCTTCGGACGGACAACGAAAGTAGACCCCCTGAGCAATGTCACTGGTCAATTTAAATTTCCTAGTAATTTTAAAAGTAGACTTACTTGGTTTAAAGTCGGGCCACTGTTCCATAGCAACGCGGCGGTCTTCGAACTCCTGACCACCGTACGCCAACAGCAACCTGTTGCTCTCTCCCAAGGCCTTCACGGGGAAATAATAGAAAACTACTTTCGGCATGTTTCTGTAGGAGAAAGGAAACCAATTATATTCAAAAGTATCTTTATATTAGAGATGCGCCGAGTACAAATTTTACCTTGTAACGAGTACCGAATATTACTCGGTTTAAGAATAGGGGTTAAAGTATGAAATTGCCGATTTGTACTGAAAATCTAAA